AACACATTCGCTAAGTAGCTGCGGGGGTGGCTGCTTCTCCTTTTTGCGGCGCGTGATCCTGCGAAAAGGTTGCCCGGGCAATTGAGTGTGAAAATTTTGTAGGCATAAGCGAGGCGCCAGGATGTTGACTAATGCACGAGCAGGCACTCAACTGGCGTGTCGATGTCCTCGCTGCCTGGGTTTCGCCTGGGTTCCTTGGGCTCCTTTAGATCCCTGGGAAAGTTGCTCTGACAGCGCTTATGAGGCAGGTCAAAGGACAGCAGCCAGGTGACGAAGCCGTCGACAAGTCAATAAATATGCTACCAGATATTCATGGGCGACATGTGCTCGAAACCGAAACCAAAACGAAACCAAAAGGCCTGAGCCTTAATCACGTGGCGACGGCACTCGCATGTTGTTACGTCAAATCCAGAAGGTCCTGCCAGACGTCAGAGCATTGACATTGATTTGTTTTTTCGCCATCCAGCGACTGCGACTGTGCTGCGTCTCACTTATTTTCGGGGGATTGTAATACGCTTTTGATTTGCCCAGAAATTCCATTTTTCACAATTTAATGCGCATTTCGCTACGTGTTGTCGTCACTGGGGCCATCTGGAACGTGCCCGGAGCCCAAGGATCTAATGCCCCCAGCATCCCCTAGCACCGAGCTCCCTAACACATCTATCATAGCCCGGGCATTTGTCACGTGAGGGACAACGTGATTTCATTTTCCTGTCGCCATAAAGGTGACACATTGCATTCGTCCTGCTCCATTTGTTGTGTATTAGTCTAAGTACGAGTGTTTGTGTCTGTTTTGCTGGAAATGAAAATGAAACAGATTCTAGGCATCTCTCTTTAAACAATACGCTCTGTTTCCTAGCTTAATAAATAGTGGGTAACCGGAAAAAAGGGACGAGCAATTTATTCAGCGGTTCCATTGATTTTCGGGGGAACTGGCTAACATGTTGTTAAACCACAGGAACGCGAGCAAACAAATTACCCACAGCAGTTGGCCAGAAATTGTTGAACATAACTTCAGATTTTATGGCCCACATGTGTGCGAAAAGTAGAGAGAATGGCGAGGAGGCGCATAGAAAGTGGCGGGGCATGTGGGTATATTCATTGTGGGTCTGGGTTCCAGTGGTTCACTCACTGGTTTGGAGGTTTGGAGGTTTGGCTGTTCACAGCACAGAGTTTACTATCAGTTTGCTGCTCGACTCGGCCAGTGTGGCTGCGAAATTAGCGCTCCAACCTGGCCAACAACCTTCCCCTTTATCCTCCTCCTCCTTTCAACTCTCTTGTTCGCCGTCTTTTGCGGCTTGGCCAAGTTTCATGTCAAAAGTGCACTCCATGAATATTTCACTTGCAATCACATTGTTTTCCCGCTAACTTTTTAGATTGTTTTAACATGTGGCGGAAGTGGGCGTGGCTGGTCGAAGGGAGTTAGGCAGGGGGAGTGGCACGTAACGTTGCAACAACAGTATCAAACTTTGGTTTTCACTCAATTTTGGCAATGCTTTTCAGGCTTGTGGCCTCCGCCCCCCAACGCCTCCGGCAAAAGCTGTTGGAAAATTGTGGGTTTATGCAGGGAAAGAAAATGGTGCATCTTCACTTGCCTAAAAGTATGCAGTGAATAAAGGATAGTAGTCTTCCTGAATGAATTCGTCGCTCTTTTGAGTTTAAAATATTTTGTTGCATACTTTTAGACACCTGATTTTATTTATTTTTGTTCTATAAGTTATAGACTATAACAAATGTTTATAAGGTTTTAGTGAGTGAGTTTAATTTCTTTGATAAAATACGATAGATAAAAAATAATATTTTATTTTTAGTAGAAGTTTCATCCAAAAAAATCATACTAAATCATATAAAATCCCCTAATTTTTATTTCTTCCCCTACATTTTCTCTCAGTGCCTCAATTCATGTGCCACTCTGTGTATTTGCTGAGGTAATCCCTGATTCCCTTGTGCTAAATTTGCCAGTTCAGTTCGGTTTTATTCGGTTGGGTTCCCTATCGCCTCGCCCGTCAGGTTGCAGTGGCTGCCCTTTGTGCTGGGGCACGTTAATAGTGCTGGGTAGCTACTTTGATGGGGGAGGTAGATCCTTCGTCTGGTCGAAATATGGGAGATTTATGCAGACGTCTGGCCAGCCAGCTAGTCAGGATAAAGACCAGCACTCCGGCATAAGTAGCCGCTCAAAAGATATTGCGTGTTTGCCTTTGCCAACTGCCATGAAATGCACCTGTTAGGATCTCTGCTCTTTTGGCGCTCTATCGAGGGATTTACAGTGTTGGCTTAAAGTTTTCCCCGCTCAACGCAGCGTTTAATGAATTTTCATTTTTTTTCCTGACGTTTTTCGTGCTTTTTGCCCTTGTTTTTTTCTGTTCACCCAGTTTGCTCGAGTGCTCGGCAAGCTGGCACCGCCGTTTCATTTGTCGCACTTGCAACGCCGGCACAGAAAAGCGGAGCAGGTGCGTCCCAGGGCCTCGAAATTACAACAGTTGCAGTTGCAACAGATGTGGCAGGAACTGCGAACAGCAGGAACCCAGGCATTTCTCTATATTTTATGCACTTTGCGTGCTACCGAAAATGTTATGGGTTTTTTCTACTGCACACTTTTGATGAAGGTCAGCAGGAGCCGCCCCCTTTTGCCCTCCTTTCCTTTCCCAGGGGCAAGTATAAAAACTAGTTTGATAATTTTCTACTCAAATTGAATATTTGCAACTGTATATGTGAGGGAAACTTTTCTTATTCTCTGCGAATAACTTTAATGGAAAAACTTTGAATATCAAACCGCAAAAACAAAAAATCCTGGCCAGAGAGCAGCGGAAGTGGAAGGAGGTGGAGGGCCTGAGGGGCTAGGCGGTGAAAATTGGAAAATTGAAATTGAATTGTAGACACAGACAACAGACAGACAAACCAAACAAGGCGACCAAACTGACCAGACAGACTCACAAATAGAAGACTCGAAATTCAAAACGAACTTTGGCCTGCTCGGTTCAATGAGTGCATATATTCACCTCTGGGGAGCTGCGAATAAAATTGAAATCAAAATCAAATAAATATGCAGGAAATATTCCTGCGGCACGTGTGAGTGCAAATGACTGAGGCCCGAAGATTCTTTCATCTTTTTTTTGTCTGTTTTCTGAACTCGGAGCTCTGAACTCCCCTCTGGATTTCCCGGGGACGCGGATCAGTGCCCAAGTGGCACAAAGTCATTTGGTTTATTAGCACTCGAATGCCAAATCCCAAGACAACAGACAGCAGGGCAGAGCAGCAGGAAACCCTTGCTTCGCAGCCAAGTCAAGAAGACAGAACTCCTCTTCTCGTCTGACATTATTTCGTTATTATCCGCATCAAGGAGTCGATTGACAGGAGCACAGGCACGTGCTGCCAACGCCTTTATCCGCCTTGCGAAAATATTGTCGCAGGCAACGAGCCGGGCTCAAAACAGAATAGTCCTGGCTACAAAAGAAATTATATTTACCAGGCCAGAACGACGGAATCCAAAGAAAACAAAGCACAAATAGGCTGGGGTCACAAAAAAGCAGAAGAGCAGAAAAAACAGCAAAGGAATCAAATGAAATGCCAGCAACATGGCATCGAGGGTCGTGCCAAGTCCAAGTCATGTCCTTCGTCCTTCCTTTTTCGCCAGTGCGTGCTGCTGACTTTTGGCTTTGCTTTGCTTACCTATTTCTATTTTTTTGCCTTCCCCTACTTTCCAAATGTTTCCGCAGCAGATAAATACAACATTTGACACTTCATTATTGTGCCCGCAGCGTAATCGAATCAATTCAATTCCAGGACCTCGGCTGGCCACGTCAGGCCTTGTCATGGTGTCAAAAGTGCTTGGTCTTCGCTCTTCGCTCTCGGGTCCTTCGCATCCGCATCCGCAGGACCTCCGCAGGACCTCCCCCTCTTCCATTGTTCATCGCTCAGAGCCCCAAGGCTCAAGGCAGCTTGCCCTGTTGACACATTCGCTTAAACGTATTAAATTGTTTGCCATCGCCTTTTGGCATCGTCCTTGTTGGTTGGCGGCGCTTTGTAGCTGACGCACAGTTTTTTCTTGTTTTTTTCTTGTTTTTTTCCCGCCACTCGACAGTTGATGGCCCTCCGTTTGCGTGCGACTCGTAACTCGCAACTCGGAACTCGGAAGTGCGGCCAGCGTAGTCGTATCTGTATCCGTAGTCGCATTCTGCCCTGTCACACTGAAAGTAATCGATTACCTTGTAAGCGGATATGAGCGTATCCGCTTTTTTGGGGGTGGAACAAGGAGGTCATATAGCATTTAATTGAGTTTAATTGGGGCTGGCCGCAATACCTGGCTATTTATGCAATAATCATTGTTTAATTACAAAACCAAATAAATACTCTAATGCCATATGCATGCAGCAAGGGTCCTTTGATGCGGTCACCGAGGGCCTGAATAAATTATGCAAGACACGAATTACCTAATACGCAAATGTAGAATGTGGAATGCATCGATATCTGTAGGTGTGGGTGTTGGCAATTGAATTAATTCAGGGCTCACTGGGGTATTGGTCCAAAAACGTGGGCTTTAATATTTAAGTGCATTTTAACACTTTACAAGCATCACACACAAGTCCAAAAACACCCACACAGAAACCCTGAGATTGACATATAAAATTGATTAGCAAATCAACAGCAAGTGCATTAAATTATTCGCCCATCCTTGGCCAGAGCTGTGCGTAAATTTGACAACTTTCATTGGATGGGCATAATAAAATGCACTTTATGAACTTTCCGACATTTGACAAATATTCTTAAATGCACTAAACCAATTAGCCACACATTTGACCAGGCACAAGATGTTGATGTTGATGTTGATCTAGATGACGATGTCCAGAGAAAGACCAGGGAAAATGTGTGCACACACGTCGGCCGAGCCGAGTAATAATATTTTGAGTAATTTACTTTATATGTTGGATACGAAAAGGGGAAAATACCAAAAGGCATTTAATATTAAAACCCCTTCTCTCCTTCTGTCCTTTGCAGTGTCCGCCCAGAGCATGATGACCAAGAACGAGCCCATGTTCATCTCACGTTCGGAGACATTCAAATTTATCACCGGCGAGACAATAGTGCTGCCCTGCGAGGTGGCCAACACGGGTGAGTATCTGGGTAGTTGGGAAATGCGGGTCTTAACCCCGCACTGCTCTTTTCGATCAGGCATTCCGACACGGGCAGAGTCGCCCACGCAGTTTGCATTTAAATGCTGCGGTCGAAGGCTCTGCCATACAAATAATTAAGCCGACATTATGCGATGGCCACAACTATGCATTAATCCGCCCGGGCGGACTAAATTTCCTCCACTGGCAGTCCGACCGCAGAAAAACAGGACCAGCGGTCAAAGCGGACAGTGGTGGTGGTGATGGTGGTGGTGGCATCCATCCAAGACATGTGTAGTGGTTACGGCGTTTTTGCTGGGGCCTTCCGCTCCACTCAAGTCTTGGCATTTGAGCGGTGGCCACTGGCCAGCCGGTCCATGTACGTTTTTCAATTTAAATGCGGTCGTGTGTGCGAGATTATTTGTACATAACAAGGATTTAGCATAAGCAACAGCATGCGAGGAGGAAAAAGATGTGGGCGGAATGGGAGGAAAGGAATGAAATAAAGCTGGGCCAAGACAACGCCGGCCAAGATGGTCAAAACTTGTGCCACTCGTCGGGGACAGAATGATACATAAAAACTTGGACCCAAACACTTGGGAACACATTTTATTTATACACAAGGAAAATATTTTATAAAAATATTTAAAATTGTTTTTAATTACGTGTAGTATTATTTTAACTATAGTAAATAGAAAAATAATTAAAAGGTGGTAAAAATTAAAATAATAAATTTTTTCACTATTTGGTTGACTAAAAAATATAATTTGTTTTATATCAAAATAAATGTTCTTTTAGTTATTGAGTTAAGATATTCTGATTTCAAATGGGCAAGTGTTGTTGTAGAATTTTCTTTAAGTGCATGCCCCACACATATGTAGTCGCTTATGTAGACACATATGAGCTTGAGACGTCTGCGGTGGGTGGTGTATCCGTTTATAAGAAAAGGAGATACAGAACAAAGAATTTCATTTGCGTTTCTCATGCACTTGATTGCCTCTGACAAGACAACGACGAACTCCGCAACTTGGACCAGGACGAAAAGAAGAAGAAGAAGAAGGCCAAGGAGACCAAGGACGAAGACGAACCGAGCGATGCGATACATAGACAATTTCTGCAACAAAATTATAGCTGCGGGCATTTGGGTACTAATAATAAAAAAGCATGGCTGAGAACAGAAAATACCGGAATAAAGCACAAGAAAGTAAATATAAACGGGGAGGCAAATAAATTGCCTGGGCGTTTGCTTCGCTTAGGTTTGAGTTGGTTTGGTTTACCCTGCAGTTGCTCGAGTTTTCCAGTTTTTCCAGCTCAGTGTCCCCGTGGCTAATGCGGCATTATGCTAATAAAGTGCCCATACGACAATTTCATTACAGCCATAGCTCAGCTCGCTTACTTCGGCTTACTTGCGCCCTTAAACGAAATAATTAAAAGGGAGGCCGCGTCGCGATTTCTTGTTTTTAATAACGCGAGGTTTATGGGGACGCCCTCTGAAAAATATGATTAGGAACGATTTTCCCTGATTGCCGGCAGCAGCAGCAGCAGCAGCAGGTGAGCCGGAACGCAGCACATCCCTTTTTATGACCCCCAACGATAAAGTGTAAAAAAATAATTGATAGAATTTTTAAAACCGCACTAAAACGCGGCGAAACGTCGAAACTCTCAACCGGCACTTTGTACAATTTATGCGCATTTTCATTCCATTTTATGCGATGCGAACTCGTAAAATTCGAAAGAGAAAAGCGAAAAGAGCGAAAATCAAACACAAAGGGCTTTCGCGTTTGAGTGTGTGAGCATTTCCATATAATATGAAAATGCCTTTAAACACTTATTACGGAGCTTTGCGCCCCGAAAGAGTAATCTTTCAGCTCGAGTGGGTGAATGGATGGGGGATAGTCGTGTCTGAGTGCGAGTAAACAGTGAAACATTTCATCATTATCATTTCATTTGAATTTTTATTTGTTCTCCAATGTCTGGCACGCAAAGTCTGTTTATTTCATTGTCTGCTTGTCTGCTTTTTTTTCTGTTCCTTGCTTTCTGTTTGCCTTTGCTGCTGCTTCTGCTTTTGCTGTGCTTTCCCCTAGCAAAGGATACCCTCTAGAGTGGAAATACTTGTACTTGTGTCAGCTCGACAATATCAATTTCGAGAAATCCAAAGATTTCTTTGATCATAAGAGGCAAACAGTTCAGTTCGGTTCATGCTGTCAAAGCGTAATTATATCCCAAAAGCTTAGGCCTTTAGTCACCTGAATGTCCTGGCCAAAAGGATGGGTTTTTATCCTGCTAGCCTGGCATCCTGCTAGCAGAAAGCAAACAAATACAGGTGGCAAATTGTTCTTTTCGACAAAATTTGCATCTTAATCCTCTGCCTTTTGAGACAAGTAAATATTATTATATAATTTATGCCTGTAAACTTTCTAAATATACAAAATGGAGATGGAAAATCCGATTTAATTTTAAATCGTAATATTTTCACAGAGATGACTTCCCTCGTTACAGTGTTGCATATTTTTAAGCTTTACCAAATCGGCTAATTAATTGCTCTGGCCATTTTATCCACTGCTCAACTTGTCTGCCTGCAAAGCCAGTGTCGTGTGAATTTTTCATTGCGGCTACGCTTAGAACAGTAAAAACATTTAACAACTGGCCACACGGCTAACTGGTAACTGGTAAATGGTAAATGCTAACGGGCTGTGACTGTAAACTCGAATGCAATAAAATTCAAAACACAAAAACCCCGTCATTGCGGCCATACAAACGCTCATTACGCTTTGATGGAGCGTCGGAGGGCTCGAAACTATTACCCGGCAAACGGGAAAGCGGGAAAACGGAAATGGAAATGGAATCGTACCGCAAAAGTTGAAGTTGTGCAAACAGCAGAACGGACCACTTGGCATGGCATGAAGTACTATATATACTAAGTAGTGCTAGCAACAAAGTTTCAATATTAATGCCATTTACAGTTCTAATTTCGCTTTTTCCGTACACACGAACACCACACTTAACACACTCGCACACTCTCTGCAAACATACTCGTACGAAAGTTTTGCAAGAAGTTGCAGATAAGTCTGGCCCCTGAGCTCTACGCTCTACGCTCCAGTTTGCCTGCGGCGGCTTAGCCGCAACATCGTTTATCTTCGGGGGTCATCATCTTATAATATTGGCCTTTCCGACATGCAATTAATTGCGCTCAGACAAACAACATGTCCGTTGGTCGGCCTTTGGTTCCTCACTAACCCCTCTCTAACCCCCCTTTAAGCCTCGCTCCTTTTCCACTGCGAGAAAACTGGCATATTGCGCATACGCACAGTATGCCCGGGGTAAACAGACAAAGGCGCTGCTGCAACAATGCGAACATTGGCCATATTTGAATTGGTCTATGTATGTATGTTTGTCCGTCCGTCTGTCTGTTTCACAGTGTTTATGTGCATATATAGCCCATTTATGTGGGGTATCTCTGTCACTGGGTGAAGTGTGGAAAACTAAAAGTTGGCTTTCGGCTGTAAACAATGAACCAGCGCTCTGCAGCAGGACGTGTGTGGTCGGCCATTTGTCCAGGACTCAGGATTCTAGGATTCCGTTTCCAGGAGCAGGCAGGCCGTGTTTATGTGAGGATGAGCTGGCCGACATACAAAAACCGAAATGCTTTTACCGAGTTTCCGCCCCACGCCAGCCAACTCGTTCATCCTCATCCGCTGCTGCTCCTTCTGATCCTGATCCTGAATCCAGGACTTGCCGCTCGCTTAACGGCGCAATTGTTTGCATGTATTGTTGTCGTAATGCCCATCGCCCCTTTCCCTCTCCCATTCTGTGTGCCTTTCTATTTAGTTTAGAACACTTAAACCGGAAATTGAGGCGTTTCGTGTTTTGCTTGTTTTCGTTAGATTGTTGTTATTTTAGTTAACAATTTATTTAGTTGCAGCCTGGCGAGGCACACAGGCTACATAGCTACACAGCTCGCATGAACAAGGCTCCTGATTTATGTGTGCCCTGCAACGGACAAGAACCCCCGAGTCCTGAGTCCTGCGTCCTGCGCAATCTTAGCCCAGAGTCTGCTGAATGGTGCCTGCAGAATAATTATTTTTGCCAGCCCGAAACAACAGTGCTGCCAAATATCCAAAAACAAATTTAAATTTCTTTACTTTTTTACTAATATTTCCTTGTGCATTTTGTATAAAATTAACCATATTTATTTAAAAATTTTTTAATTCAATTAAAAATCTTGTCATCACTGCTAAAATCTTGAATCACTTACCCGATTCTCCTCTACCAAATACCAAAAATGATGAAATTCTGTTGCCCAAAATAAAATGTAACATTTCAAGAATTTGGCAATGGAAATCAACTGACAGCTCCCAAAACAAAGACAGCCAATTAGTCCGAGAACTCGTTGAAATTAACCAATTGTGAGGCCTGGAAATAGTGAACCCCCTGGGAAACCAAATAATTGACAGCCCGACTTGGGCAATTTGGATGCCTTTGCCCAATTTGCATAGCCCAGTGCAAAAATCGACTTGGCAATGTACCAACTACCAACTACAACTGGCGTTGCTTCATTCATAACTCAATCAAGCGGCTAATATGATATGACTGCACTTTGCCAGCACGTACATGTTGCAATGCCCTGAGTTCCTATACCTAATTCCTAAGCAGGATGCCACCTTCACCACCACCATCATCGTCCTCGCATCGCCACCATCGCCACCCGGGAAGCCTAAAGAATTATACTTTCCGTTCTCTGCGGCAGGGACACCATCTACATACAGTATAGGGTATACCATCCTCCAACCTGCAACCACAACTCCACCTTCGACTCCTTTTAGAGCACGCTAACGACAGCAGGTGGTGCTCGTTTATTTATTTGTTTTTGCAGTGCACTGCGCCTGCTGCATTGCCTTTCAGCTTTCACCTTTCATGGAACCGAGAATGGAGAACGGAGAACCGAGGAGGAAAAACCTGCCTTGGCTTGTTGATGTTGTTGAACTCATTGCAAATAAATACGCTTTTTGAATGCGCATGTAAATGACTTCATAAGCATTTTATTACGGCCCAGCCAACTCGGTTGTGAGCTCTGCAGCTCCGAGCTCCTGCTGCACTCACTCACTCATCCATGAGTGTGCTATGTGTGTGGTATGAATCAATTTGAGGCGGGGGGGATTCGCATGCCTACAGCTGCGGTCAAAATATTATTATTCAACTCAAATATGCTAATGTCTTTTGTCCTGAGGGTTAAATTCAATACATATTGACAGGGGTTTTATTGGCTAATATGTAAAAGGTGAATTATGTTTAAGAACTTGCTCTTTTGAAAATAATAAATAAATAAATCAATATAAATTATTAGCAGAATGTATTATTATACCCTTGCAGAGGGTATTATGATTTCAGTCAGAAGTTTGCAACGCAGTGAAGGAGACGTTTCCGACCCCATAAAGTATATATATTCTTGATCAGCATCACAAGACGAGTCGATCTAGCCATGTCCGTCTGTCCGTCCGTCTGTCCGTCTGACCGTCTGTCCGTCTGTCCGTCTGTCCGTCTGTCCGTCTGTCTGTTTCTACGCAAACTAGTCCCTCAGTTTTTGAGCTATCGGCACGAAACTTTCGGAAAAGTCTTCTTTCTATTGCAGGTAGTATATATGTCGGAGCCGACCGGATCGGACAACTATATCTTATAGCTCCCATGGGAAGGATCGGAGAAAAAAACTTTAAAAATTCTAGCTTCGGTGTTTTTTGAAATATTACCTTCTACTTTTGGGGATGTTTTTTTTAAATATTTCTGAATTTCGAATTAATTATTTAAAAAATCGGACTACTAGATCATATAGCTGCCATAGGAACGATCGGAAAATTAATGGGAAATATTAGAAAATTGAACATTTTTGCGATTTGTTAATTAATAGGAATGATCTGCAAGGGTATATAAGCTTCGGCTGGCCGAAGCTAGCTTCCTTTCTTGTTTTTTCTTAAGATTATAAAAAATGTTACTTATTATTTAAACAATTAAAAGCTAAAGTAATGATTAAAGTATCTCTAAACTCTTTCGCTTACTTAAAGAGTTAAGCAAAGGGAAAACATTTTTAGGCCCCAAAGTAACTGCCACCATTTTGACCGCAGCTGTAAATCATTTTCCCGTACCCTGGATTTTTTGGCAGCCGTAGAGCTCACTTAGTCATCGATGGCGGGCAAAATTGTTTTAATTTTTAATGAACGCCGCTCGTCGGCGCCGAAACACGGAAGTCATACATCATTAGTAGCAAATCCGGTAGCTTCAATACACATTTCAGTACTTCTGCTTTTGCTCATCGGTTTCCCTTATACATACAAGCATATCCTTCCCGTGTCCTTCCCCCCTTTCGCCGACCATCATCTAGGTTCAGCACGCGCGCGGAAATTTACATCGAGCAACTCACATAAATTGAAAAAGGAATCACAATTAATGAGTTCGATGAATACGCCATTGCCATTGGACTGTTGTACGTGTATGGGGGTGTGAGCGTGTCTATGAGTGTGTTAGTACATGTTGGGGTGGACCAAGGTTAAGGTTTGAATAATATCTGTGGAATATTTCATAAAGAAAATGTAAGCAAAGTAGTTATTAAACTAATGGAATCTACAGAATACAGTTTAGTAAATATTATTTAAGTTCTTTTTTTTTAATTTATAAAAATTTTTATGATACTTTTTTGGAATATTGGAACCAGAAAATGCCTTTTATTTTTCAAAAACAAGTTTAGTCAACACTTTAACGTCTTGGGAAAATTACTAATTAATTTTTTCAAACAAGAAATAGATATCTAAGTGACATACAGGTCCACCCTAGTTTACATGTGTCTAGCTGGCATCCTTCCGCTGGCATCCTACCATCCTACTACCATGACTCCTGCTGCCGCAGCTGCTGCTGCTGAAAGCATCCGAGTGTCTGACTGCCTCTCATTCTGGCATATGATTGCAAATGCCGCACATTAGCGGATATCAAGTGGGTGTTACTGAGTGCCTGTCTGACTCTCATCCAGTGTTGTTCATGCCGCCTGTCTGCGGTTTATATTCCACTCTGGATCTGCCCCTGGCTGTTAGTATATGTGTGTGTACGGGTCCATGCCAAATTGAATTTCTAGCCTTTTTAGATCCTTTGAAGCGGCCCGTAATTGAGTCATTTGAATTCTGACTTTTCAATTTGCGCTGCCACTGCAATGCAGGCAGGCACTCGAATCTGCCATTCGATTTAATAACTCTCGAACATAATTTATCAATTATAATTCTCGATGCCCCCGGAGCTACTCGATTTACGATTTACAATTTACCGATTTTGATTTTAATTTCGATTTGTTGTTACAGACACGTACGTTGTGGCCTGGAAGCGTGGAATCGCCATATTGACCGCCGGATCCGTGAAAGTAACGCCCGATCCCCGAGTGCGTTTGGTCAATGGATTTAATCTGCAGATACGCGACGCTCTGCCCACGGATGCCGGTGATTATATCTGCCAGATTGCCACTATGGATCCCCGGGAAATCACCCACACGGTCGAGATACTCGGTAAGTAGGCCGGCTCACAAATTTGCCAACGACTTTTCGACACTTTCACCCCCGCTTTATGCATTGTTATGCAAAGTTTCCCAATCACCAGAAGCCCAGATTGACGTTCCCTGGGATTTTTATGGCCGAAATTTATGCGGCTGGGCTCAAATCACTTGGGCCCCATTGTTAGGCTTCGTTATTCGAGGCTTCACTGTGTGTGTGATGCTGGTCAAATTAACATATCCTTACATCCTTACTGCTTAGTGCCTAGTGCTTTATGCGTCCGGGCCACTCAAATATGCTAAGTAGGTTCGGCTGCAATTTGGCCGCCTTTACGGCCAAAGATTCAATAGAGAGTGGAAATTTTGAGCCAAAAAAATCAAAACTAATCTGCCATTTGGCCCGGAATCGCTGGAGAAGTCAGGGAGATATAGGGAAATGGAGAGGGAGAGAGAGAGCGGATGCAAATTGCTGTTCCTTTCTCTAGATCCTTTGGCTCAACTACTTCCTGCCGAGGAAGGATTCCCTGGTTCCTCAGTTCCTCGATTCCCTGTGCCTAACAAGCGTGCGACTCCAGCTTTGTTTCTGGCTCCTTCTGGGTATCCTGAGTATCCTGGGTATCCTTTCCTCTCCTTTTCTCTCCTCTTCTTTGCCATGCGTCTTCTTCGGCTGGGCTTCTAATCAGCAATGATGAATAATTTACATATATTTCCCCCAATTACAATGTTGCCCTTTATTTGCATACGATTGTGTAGCTGTGTGTGTGTGAGCCACGCCCACCGCCCCCTGCCAACACTTGTCTTTTAACTGTGTCTGTGTATGCGGTGCATGCAAATTGCGATACAATTCCCAAATCTCCAAAGTGCTCTGTCTCGCTTTTTCACCGCATCTCTATCTCTTTTTCGACGGGTTCAAACGATTGAAAATAGTTTTATTGCCGACTTTAAGGCGCTTTAAGGCGCGAAAAAATTCGGAGATTTTCGCTAAAGCATTATTCGCCAGAAAACACAGGCCTATAAAAAATGCGTATTTATTTTAGCGGCGACAACTTTTTTCATTTGTCATTGAAACTTGGTCCTGCTCCTTGTGGTCCTACTGCTGTTTTTCTTTTTTGGGGCATCGCCACAGGCAAACATTAAACGGGAAAAACGGAAAACTCCTCGCCGGCAAACAAGAGAAGGAGAGTGGGAAAAAAGTCGATTATTGAAAAGTTTTGTTTATTTTATGTGTTTATTATGCGCTCCGTTTGCCAAATAATGATCATGGCCAGAAATATTTCGTTTATTGAACTTTCGCAGGCGCACGTAAATTTCTCGCCCCCTTTTTCCCCACCCGTCGACCAATCTCCATTATTGTCAAAGGAGAAAACAGGCAAAATAATGCGCTGTCGAAGTTTTTATAGGCTCAGCAGCGGACAGCACACCCTCCCCCAAAAAATCATTTCCAAAACCAGCCGAAACCAGGGATTCCAGAATCCAGAACCCAAAAACCCACCCATGTGGCCCAAGTATTCCTACATATATAAATTTCATAAAGTTTGCCGCTCTTTGGCATCTCGGCTTGGCAGTTTTTACGAGCGTAAATTACTTTCAGTTTGGCTGGCTCACACTAAAGATGAAAAAATAATGTGCGCCACTGCCAAAGTTTTGCGCCTCGGCCGTCGTGGCACTTACAAAGACATTAGCCCGGCGATGGCCAAAAAATGGACCAACCTATGCCAGGCTAGGATATCTGGGATATCACGATACCAGCCCCTCAAGCAAGGGCCAAACAATGGGCCAAAGTTTGCCCGTTGACAAATCTTTTAATATGGCACGGGCATTAATATCTGGGTGACCTTTCTCCCTAGTAGTAATTGCAGAAAAAACAAAAGAGAGAACGCTATAGTCGACTATCAGATACCCGTTAATCAGCCAAAGAAAGGAGAGCACTGCTTGCTCTGCTTTAATTTTATCATTTATTATTTGTTCATAACTTTTTAATGAATGAACCGATTTGAAAAATTAAATCTACATTTCGATAGGTATTCCTTCTACCTGTTACCTACTGTTGCACAAATACAATACACCCTTTTACTCTACGAGTAACGGGTATAACCAGCTGGCACTCTAGGTGAACTGTATCTAACCGAGGCTTAAATATTTGATGAGTCCGCCAAGGTTGCGCATCCGCCGTGTTGGCCAGCAGTCAACAAATGGGGTGCAGGAACTGTGTCAAGGACCTGAAAGGATTTTCAGCTGGAATGCAGCTCAGGCAGATGCAGCTGCAGCGGGCATTATTCATGTGACGTTTAATAAAACCAATTAGGCTTCGACATGGCCCATCCACCATCCATCCATTAGCCGGTGTCAGGCTGTCGCCAATGGGTTTCGGTTTCGGTTTGGGTTTGGCTTTGGGTTGGGTTGGGGTTATGGTCAGAATGGATGGATGGCTGAACCAAATCCAACCGCAAAACATTATGTTATGCGGCTGCCTGTGCGGTCGGCCGTGCCAGCAATTTGCACATTTTTATCACGGCCGAATCGCTGTGATTTTTAAATTTTTAAATCCATTTCGCGCGGGCGTGACTTTAAAATCAGACAAGCCGAAATCGGATTGTGTGCAGTTCGAATGGCACAGCACGGCAGGTTGGCAATTAGCTGTGTAATTATGGGGTACTTTGTGGAGGCGAAAGTCCAAGGCAAGGACTCCACTTTAAGTATCGATAACAATAAAATCATTGAACCGGAAACCATAATTATTGCACTGTGTGTGTGTGGTTTAGAAAATGGAGACTGCTTCCCCCCGTGTGTGATTTATATGCACAATATGCCAAAACAACTGTTCACGGACAGGGAGACGGATGTGGCCACATCAGGCGGAGACAGGTGCAAGGAAAGGAGAAAGGATATGCAGGGGGAAGGACGAAGGAGCCGCATTTAATTATGGCCAGCTGGCCGACAATAGATCCCCGGCACAATGGGCGGAACAACAATGTTTGTACAATAACAAAAGACCCTGCAGGATGCGAAGGATGCGAGGAGGCTGCCAGAGAGGTGTGGCATATAATTATATGCCACAAGGACGATAAACAAATGCCACACACGCACACTTCAACTTGTAGTTGTATTTATAGTTGCACTGGCAAAGTTCTTTGGATACTTGAGACAAATTACCAACAGGACACTGCAGCCACGGGAGCCCCCAATTAAATGCCCGGATCTCTGGGGATCCTACTGGGATTTCTGGCCTTTGCAGGCAGCCGCTTAAGTTCTGGCACTAAACTTTATCGGCAGCAACAGAATATGGATTTAAATTACTTAACAGACAGGCTCCGTGCCGAAGTTTTGCCGCCCACAAAACCGGCGCACTTAAAGTTTAAGCCTGGCTGGGAATATATGTGTGTGTGTGTTGGCCAGTCGAGTGGGTGGGTAAGTGGGTGGTTCAACTTTGCCTGCCACAAAACCGAGGGCCCGAAGTTGAGACACCACCCAATCCGCCGTGGCTGTTGCGAAATCAATATGAAACAAACTCTGTCAAAACTGGCCACAACCATCGAGATCCTCCCAATCCTCCCAATCCTCCCGCCCTCTGCGGCCAATGCGGCTGATGCTTTGAAAGCGCTGCTTATTAAAATTTTTGCCATCTGCCAACTGGCCACAAAACCAGCAAGCCATCAAGTCTGCAAGATTGAGACCCATTAAGTAGTCGTCATCTGCATGACATTACATGCCGCAATCCACGTATTACAAGCCGCACACTCACAGCTCGGAGCTCGCACAGTTGAAATCAATTTCAGTCGAGAATCGAGTATTAAAAGAGCTTTGGGCCCCCCGCCCTATCAACCTCCCCCACTTTACAACAGGGAGACATATTTATTGAATTCAATATTCGAGTGTACAAAGCGTGAGAATATTGAGAATATATACCAAACACACACGAAGGAAGGAAGGGAATGGTATGAGATGGGGCATTATTTGCCTGCAACTTCATTGCGAGTTATCCGAGTCCTTCTCGCTGCGCCTTTTGCCAGGCTCATGATTTATTACAGTCTAATGCATATTTTGTGGCTGCAGGAGGACCGAGCACTCCGCACACGAGCTGCAGAGTGGGAAAATGGTCTAAGCTTGGACAGAAATAATATTTTATTAAAAATAGAAAATAAATTTAAGTAGCAAATATTATTGAAGGTATTTACTCAGCTTATGATATTAAAGTATTATTTGAAACAATTAAATATATCTTTGGGCTGTTTAGGAGTTTGTGTGTTGGAGTTTCCATAGATGGAAGATCTTTAAGTTTTTAACTATTTTAATATTAAAACCCAAGTAATTTCGCTCAGTGCATCTGCGAGCCACGAGCCATGAGCTATTTGTGCGCCCCTCAGTGATCAATTGTAATTTTCTTTCGAATGCAAATATCCCGGGGAGCGAGAGCGAGCAGGAGAAGCGAAAAGGCTGCCATCCTTGCTGGGCTTATTTGTTTTGGCCAGAGCAATAGAATATATTATTTGATATATTGCAAATCGTGTGTACTTTGAAAGAATTGCATCAATAACACATGTTTGTGGCCGCAGTGGCGTAGTCGGTGGTAATTTGATTGGGTCCTAATCCGTAAACCCCCTCTCCTCGGCGCCCCTGGAGAGCCGAGATGGACTCTAATTTGATATGTATATTGAGTAGCATGTGCATATATGCCCAAGTGTCTCTGTGCGCCTTTTGCTTTATTGAGCTGTTGATACTCGCACTTAAATGTGAAAATTTTGCTGGGGAAAAGCAAATATCAGCTATCAGCAAAGTGTGCGTTGGCCTCAATTTACGGGCTAGCCAAATGAACGAAATCCCCAAGAGCTTTAACAAAACAACGAAAGAAACACAAAAAAGACTAAAAATAAAGTAAACACAAAATCCCAAACTCACCAAGAAACAACAACTGCTGGCCATTTAGGGGGGCCCCTTAGAAAAAGCAGAAAAAACAAAATAATAATGCATAAGAAATGTCCATAAAACCGAATGAAGCCATCGAAGGCGTCAGCTGCCGTTGTCCTTGATTTAGTCGCCGCACAGCAGACATCATTTTTAACAGCTGTAAAGTAATGCGGCCACAAATATAAATAAACGCCGGTCCCGAATTAAATCAAACTATGACCCCAGAGGGTCCTGAAATAAAGGCTACTTTATGCAGAGGCCAACTTTTTACTTGGAGACGCGTAAATGCCGTTTTCTCTCATTCAATTTGCATTCGGGGCGCAGTTATTTATTCAAATTGTGTGATGTCCTTGCCCAGGACCCACTTTGCATACATTTTCGGCTGGACACCGAGGGGACACTGGGACTGCTACTACCATTTCTAATGTGTTTTCTCCTTCTATCTCCCTGTCTATTTCCAGTGCCGCCGAGGATTCATCACATTAGCACCGGCGGACATTTGCAAGTCAAGAAGGGCTCGTCGGTGCGCATCGAGTGCTCGGCCACGGGTAATCCAATGCCGAATGTGACTTGGAGCCGCAAGAATAATATTTTGCCCAACGGTAAGATTCCACATAAATGTAGAACCCGAAAAAAAGGGACAGCCAAACAACCAAGCAACCAAACCAAACGAAACCACGCAAATTAAAATCATAAAGAGGCAACAAAGGAGCGGCAGCATAAAGTTAATGAATACAGTCGTAAAAGAAACTTTAAACAATTTCCATAAAAATGGAAAGTCAAAGAAATTATACATATTTTTTGCGCCCGAAGAAAACGCTTTGCTGCTCGTCCTTTGCCTTTTCCTTTATTATTAAATATAATGCTCACTCTGGCGGCAGAATCGCAGTGTGTGAATGTGGCTCCGTTTGTGGTTGCTTCCTTGTTTGCTGGCCATTATCCATTGGCCATTGGCCAACCCGCGGAGAAGAAGAGGACTCCAGCCGGACGTCACTGTCACTTGGCCGCACGTTGATTCCCCGTAATTGGCTCTGTCATTTCTTGGGCTGCGGACAACAGGACTTTGGTCCTTCGTCGGCGCAAGCGGCGGCCTTATTGAGTTGCATTTTTCATGCGGTCTCCCGTTTTTCAGGCGAGGAGAAGCTCCACTCGCACGTCCTCTCCATCGAGAATGTGGATCGGCACAAGGGCGGCGTCTACATTTGCACTGCCAACAATCGCGTGGGCCAGCCCGCTTCCAGCCAGGTCGTGCTCCATGTCCTGTGTAAGTATGCCACCCAGAACCACATCCTCATCCGCACCCACATCCATTGCACTTTCATATTTGAACACTCGCAAAATTAATGGATATGAAATTGGCCACAAAAAAAAAAAAGTAACGAAAATGATTTTCCATTAGTTTCAAGTTATAACGTAAAACAATGCTTGGCATTTTATTAATATGGGTTGAACATCTTTTGGGTTTTTTATTTTATTCATATTTATATCTACCTTTCCGACGATTTCAGATATTTATTATTTTAAAACTTAATAAATATTTATTTATTTATTTTACCTTTTTAAAAACATAACAATACAAATAAATGTAATAATAGTTTCTTCTTTTTTGATTTAATTTAATTTCTTTTTTTTTATATAAAAATTTATTTAAATTGGTTTGTTATTTAAATTACAAAAATGTGTCAGAATAACCATGCTTTTTCGTTTATTAAAACTATTTCAAATCTGTTATTAAAATTAAAAAATATTTATTACATATTTGAATAAATCTTGATAGTGAAATTTAAAGCTATTTCCCAACATTAATTATAATTACCATCACTGCTTTTATTTCCCAGTGTAGACACACAATGGTAGCGAAACGAATTAATTTTTTCCGAACGCGACTCACTGTGCCACGGAGTTCGACTGTCAGTCCAATTTATGTCAAATCTGATTTCGATTTCGAACGGGTATTGACTTTTAACGCTCTCGCGGCCCATGCATTCGAGTAGGTTTCAGTTGGGGTTTGGGGTTAAGGGGTCGCCCGCCAGTAAAAGGGAATGCTTTTATTACATTTACACACTTACCGACATTTATTGGTTGGCTGGCAATTATTGAAATGCTCCCGGTCGTTCTGACATTTATAAAGAATTTATATGTATAATTTTGATGGGCATGGGAGTTCGTAGTCCGAGGTTCGAAGCCCCCGGTTGGTCATTACATGTGCTAATTACGTGGCTCCCATCTCTATTTACACTCTTTTCGATCCCATTTGGCTGGCGGGGCCATTGATTTTTCGCCGCTTTCGTTCGCTGCCATTCCGTGAGACAGGACAATGTTCATGTTATTAACTAATTTCTTAACGTTCTCCACCCTCTTTTTTTTTGAATTTTCCCCGCAGTTTCGCCGGAAATCTCCGTGGAGCGTCCCGTGGTCTTTTCGGGCGAAGGGCACGAGGCCACGCTGGTCTGCATCGTCCACGGCGAAACCCAGCCTGAGGTATGTTTTAATTAAATTTCATACATAAATTTTCATTATCGCGCTTGCTCACTTGGAAACACGTACAGCAAACCCAGACCACACGCCCCCGCAGCGGAAGCTGCAGATACACAGATACACAGATATTCAGAGATACACAGTCCATATAGAGAGAGAGCGGTCCATGGATATATCCCATAGATTTAGACATCTTGTCGAGTCCATTGTTTAACTGAAAGCCGAAAGCAGATGCTTTCTGCTTGCTGCTGCCACCACGCATTAATTAAAAGTCTACAAAGGCAAATTGAAGTGCAATACAAAGTGCAGATGAGAGATAAAGGGACGCAGGACTCAGGACGCAGGACGCAGGCGACAGGCTGCAGGACGAAAAAAAAAAGGCGCCGAGCATAATTTTAATCAAACATCGCTCACAAAAAGTCCGAGCGAGCGAGAGGGCGACAATTGTGCGAGAGGGAGAGTGCCAGCATGTCCTTGTCGTCCCTGTCGTCCTGTTGCCCATTGCATTTTCGTATATCCAGTTTTTCTGCAGTAATTTCAACTTCACTTTTAGCCCGACTCTCTCACTCTCTGGTGTTTATTTTTGTGCTCTGCGCCTTTTGTCGACATTTAAATTAATACGCTCGGCTATAATTCAAAGTAAAATTGCGGAAGTTGCCAAAGCGGAAGTGAGAAGCGGCGGGCTACCAGAAAAACCAAAAAAAACCAAAAGAGCACAAGAGAAAAGCCAAAGAACCGAAAAGAAAACCCAAAATGACATGGCGCACACACAGGCGAGAAGAGCAGGGCGGAAATGGAGGGATTGGGATATACTAGGGTGATCCTGTCTAAAGGAAAATTATCCTTTATCATTATTAGAAAATATATATTTATAATAATTATTAAAATGTTTTATAAAGGGTTTGTCAAAGCCCTTTAAAATGGTTTATAAATACTTTTTCACTTCCTTGACTTTTAAATTAAATTAATACAAATATTTAAAGCCGAAAAACCAAATCTACCAACCAAATTTAAAGCCCAAAAAAATCCAATTCTTATGCCTGCTATTAAAAACCTATAAAAAACTTATAGCAAGGCCTTAACTTCCTCAAAATAGTGCCTAGAATAGTGCCACCCTAGCGAACACAGACGAAACCCGAATAATGACTTGCAACCGCAAATGTCAATCCTTAAAATTATACAGCTCCCGTTTCATTTCACTTTGTTTCGCTCCATTTTGGCCCGATTCGTGGTAAGTCCGTCAGCAACTCGACCCGACTCCTTGGCCCCTTTCCACGAATTTTCCGACAGCGCATTAAGTTTTTATGCTATTTAATTTTCCAACATTTTTTTTTGGCCCCTCGTTTTGTGGCCGCAAAGAGTTGACTGCCTTTCCAGCGAACAGCAGCAGCAGCGTAACTATTTATTTGCCAGCTAGCTGCAGCTTTTTATTTGCTCTGTCCGACACATTTCATTATAGTCGTGGACCCTTAACCCTCCGGCTCCTGCCTTAACCCCCTCTTTAACCCCTATGCTGGCCAGCGTCAACGTCAACGCCTCCTGCTTTGCATTGTGCATGCCATCACCATTTCCATCGTCGGTTGACGGAGCTGTGGGCGGTTAAAACGGGGGGCTAAGGGGGCGTGGCATTTAGTAGTCTTTGAGAATGGCATTTCCGCATGCAATTTTTACATTTGCCTTCCTCGCACAGTTCGTCATTTTCTCTTCATTCACTTAATTTTTCATTTTTTGTTCAAGCTTTCCTTTATTTTTGTATCCCTGTGGCTAAGTGTATACAATTTAACGCTTCCTTTTCGGCAGTTTTTTCCTAGTTTTGAGCTTTGTTTTTTAACGAGCCTCTAAAGTGCTTCTCTAACCTCCAACTGCACATGCACATAGGAAATTTTCAAGTATGCCCCAAACAGACTTTTTTGATTAGCTTCCAGAGTTTTTTGCCCGTAAATGTTAATTAAGGAATTCATTGGCATGTAAACTCTCTCACCCAGAGCCAAAGGTCAAAGGTTTAATTAGCGCGGTAAAAGGCGAAAGTTGGCAAATATCTGTGGCATACCACGCAGTGCCTGTAATTACGGTTGAAAATCTGTTGCATAGAATTTTTATTCCAATTACTAGAGGCAGAACATAGGTGCAAATGATGGGCAGCCATCGAAGAACTAATGAAGCCCGATGCGAATAATGGGTTGATATTCTGTGGTACCATTGTTCATATTGTTCTGAATGCAGCGCGTGCAATTTTAATTATGTCTTGTCAACGATGGGCTGACATTTCGCAGCGTAAAAACCGCAAACTACGCCACACGGGGGCAGCATATTAATTATTTAGCGGCCATTGAAGGGTCTCATATGCATACATATATACAGACACTGGCACTTATGTGCATATTTACATATTAATTACGCATTGCACCACAAGCCCAAGTCTGGCATATTCATAATCCATTGATATTGTCGATTTGTTGCATAATGAATATCATAAACATGCTCTAAGCTGTGTCTGTGTTGGGGACCCTGCCGCCTGAACCCTAAAACACCCACCCACTTCGAAACCCACCCATCCGCAACGGCAGCAACAAAGTCATTAGAGCAATTGTCATTAACATGAGCGACGGCAATGAGACAACATCATTATCAACGTCATCGGGCGGCAGTATTGTCAACGATGTTGTCGCCGTCATCGATGTCGGACGCATTAAACATGCAGCAGCATTTGACAGAGCCATCAACGTCAGCAGCTAACAGCATTAATGGGCGTCCGTTTGGACAGCCCCTGTTCCCTAAAACGCCCACACACCACCCCCTGGAATACCCACCACCCACTTCTAAACAAGGACCCTTGATGAGCTTTCATCGCTCATCAGCCAGCGACTGAGAGAGATAGAGATATTGCAGCCATGCCGCTACTATGGCTTTTAATTATTTTGCAAATTAATTTCCAAATTGGTAATTTTCTTCACATTTACACACACGCACGCAGGAGCAGAAGCGCACGTAATGAGTTTTTGTGCCCGGGACCGAAGGACTGCAAGTTGGCCTATTGGCCCGCTACGAAATGAGATGTTTAGATGGCACAAAATTGCCAGATAATTAGAGGATTCGTTGGTCTGGAAATTACTTGCTGGGGCAATGTTGCGAAAAACTACTTGATATACACATTTTAAGTGGTAATTTATCAGTTTTGTGTCGGTAAAGGTTTTTGAAGGGTTTAAAGATGGGCAAAAAGTAGCCAAACTAATTTTACTTATATGTTTTTTTAAATTTACTAGGACCCGCATTTCCTAACTACCTTCGTTTTTATGCAGGATTAGAGCTTAAATCCATATTGCAAAATGTGAGGTAGTCCTTTTGATGTTGCTTGATTCTTCCTTTAAAGGTTTAAAGAAGAGCAAAACCTATAAAAACTTATTTAACTTAAATATTTTTTACGTGTACTAAGACCCGCATTTCCCAACTACCTTCGTTTTTGGGCTGTTACAAACTAAAATTACTATACTTATATGTTTAATATTTAATATCCCTTAAAATTTGCAAGAATAATTTCAAACAGCTTTCTTTTCATTTAATTGCGAGCAACATGTAACACAACCAGAAGTTTGAAGTGATTGCCCGATTATAGACTTAATGACATGGTAGGCCGGCACTCTAAACTGCTGTTGAACTACCGTAATTAATTACGGCAAAAGTTATTTATTGTCATTATCTAATTTCTATTAGCTTTCCCCCGAGGCGGCAACTTTGGGGAGCAGCTGTTGGCCCTGGCCAATTGGTGTAGGCAACAACTTAAGTCAAACTGTGGCCATTAGCAGCGACACCAGTAAAAAGAGAGAAAGAAAAAAGCGACGGCGATTCCTGGGCCACACGCAATTCTCCCATGTGCGTGCTGGCGTGCCAACGCGGCGTATGCGTAATTCCCACATGCCTCTTGCAATTATTTGTTTGCCTCTTTTCACTCGCAGCTGAGCTGGCAGCCATCTAACAACACTCTTCCTTTGGCAATTTCCTGTGCTGTGAAAGAAGGTATTGCATAATAGATTGCCAGACAGAACGGAAGGGAAGGGAAAGGAAGCCAGGATTCCGGGACTCTGGGATTCCGGAGCTGAAAGCCCAAGCACGCATATTCCTTTCCACTTCCTTCTTTCTTTCCTTTTTGGCTGATTAGTGTTGATTGGTATTTCTCGCTTTGCTGCTCATCAATGCTAATTTCTTGCCGCTTCTTCGTCTCATTTCGCTTTGTTTTCGCTCTCGACCAGCTTCAAAGTTGGCCAAGTTTCTTGTTTCGAATCGATACGATACGTTGATTCGTTTCCTTTTCCCCCCATTCACGTGCTTCGAACTGAAAGAAAGCATTTGAAAATTAAGCGCAAGTGCAAAAGATTGATTGGCGCAACATTTGCGTGGATCTATTAATGAAGTGCACACAGGCCAATCAATTGGCCCATCCATAGAGCAATTAATTCAGTTGGCTGTTGGCTGGAGAAAAAATATTAAATAAAATAATTTCTGGCCATTTTTCCTGCCACGTCAACACTTATGCCTCGTTACGCACGGTTGAAGGAACGTCGGATGATGGGGCTACCCAAAACTAGAGCTTAAATTAAGGGAAAAGCGTAAAATCAACAGAACACCAAACACCGATGGCCAGCCGGCTAGAAACAAAAGGCATGAAAAACGCAAACATCAACAATTCGGACAAATAACGGCGAAAAATGGGCGAAAAAGGCATTTATGGCAGGAGGGCATAACTGTAACTGCACACGTACACATCAGCGGCGCCGGAAAATGTCTGCCATGCGTATGTGTGTGTGTGAGTGGGGAAAATATGACAACACATATGCACTGCTGACAGCCATTTTAATGGAATATGCGGCAAAGCACCACCGGCGTTAACTAATCTAGCCAAATAGGAGCAAATAAATAGCAGACTTGAAAATAGAAATGCCACAGATAGCAGATAGCTAGCTATCCCTATACCATACTTTTTTCCTGCCTCTATTTGTTTTAATATTTGTGCCTTTTGTGGGGGAAGCTGGAGATTGGATTTTGGTATGTGCGTCATGCCATCGAGCGAGCACCTGCTGCTGCTCTGGCTGCCCGTATCCCCTGTTAATTCGTGCGTTGTGTCCTTACTTATCTGCCGACTACAGCCCGTATCCTGGCGTATCCTGGCGTATCCTGTCTGCGAGCTGTCAGCCTGGCGACAGCCCGCCGCTGCTGCAGCGACTCGCGCGCCCAATTCATTTACAAAACACGCACGGTCCTCGTCCTTTGGATAGTTGCCTCCTTTTTCGGGGGATATGTTTGCACAGGACTCGTCGGGTTCTCGGAACTCGCACTTGACACACAGAACATGCTCTCGAAAGCGGGGCTGCGTAAAAATATGTAGCAAATAGGGACAAACAATGCCGAATCCAAGAATCCAAGATGGTGAGTGGGAAAAAATCTGATGGGAAATCAATAATCATTGAAGGAGGAAAGCCAGCAGGGGGCACGTCGATCTGGTTTTCAATTTCAACAGGAATTACGCTTAATTGACGCTCAAGTGACAGCCGCACGAAGTGGCAGTGGAAGTACTCTCGCCGCAAATCGTCTTAACTTTTGCCCCCATATCTTTCTCTCCCTCGACCACAAACCAACCTCAGTAACCTTAACCAACCCGAGAGTCTCCCAATCACGCACATATACACACTCTCCAGCCAATCTAGTAACTCGTGCTCGCCTCGATTGACCAAGTTTTCAATTATTTACAGGTAATTTGGTTCAAAGACACCATGCAATTGGATACCACCGAGCGTCACATCATGGAGACGCGGGGATCGCGGCACACGCTGATTATACGCAAAGTGCATCCGCAGGACTTTGGCAACTACTCCTGTGTGGCCGAGAATCAGCTGGGGAAGGCACGCAAGACCCTGCAGCTGAGCGGAAAACCGAACGTGGCCGTTTTTAATTCACCGCCAATCAGTCAGTACAAGGACAGGTAAGATTTCGATTGGAAATTGGAAAAAAGGAGGGGGAATTTGCTATAAGAATGGCTGAAAGTTAAAGCCACGTGCCACGTGGGTAGCCTAATTACGAGTGCAGCTTACTAAGTGAGCATAAAATGCAAAATCCGTAACAAATGCCCGGTGCTCTGGCCTGATTGGACATTAGACACGATGATGATGCACTGTGTAACTTTATTAGATTAATTTCGTTGACTGACATGGCAACTGGGTGATGGACAGACAGACGGACAGTTATACGGACAGACGAACGGACAAGAACTCTGTGGGCCGCCAGTGCGTATACGTAACGTAACGTATGAAACTTTTAATTGGATTAGCTGTCATCAGGCACACGCACACACTCTCTGGCCTCATAAGTGGGCAGACAAAGGCAGATAGCAGAAAAGGGAAGGTACAGGGAAGTCAGCCAAGCGACAAACAAGCCAAACATCTCACGTCACACCACTGGAATAAAATGGCAGTGGAAATGAAAAGTAGACAGCTAGATAGCTTTACACTGGTTTTCGTTGCGAAAAAGAGAGAGAGGAAAAAAGAACACCTTTCAATAATTCAACTCGAATGGAATCCAATAATCTGCTGAAAACATTTCACCAGCTAGCCATCATAATTTCGAGCCATATTGCGCATACGCCCCGTTAACGCAACTTTGCAAAAAGCAACTAACCGAACATTTTGGCCATGTCAACTTTTGCGCTGATTTCATTTCGTTTCATTTGGTTTCATGACTCGCCGCCGGAAACTGCTGTCGGCAATTAAGCTACCAAAAAGCCCCGAATCTGAATCCGAATCGAGCATACAAAGTACGCAAAAGTGTTTTTTTTGTTCCGAAAATACTGAAATTCCCAGAGTAACTCCCTTTCAACCGTCTGGCGCCAGTCGCCGGCTCTTCAATTGTTAATAATCATTTTTATTGCTTGCGTTAGTTTTATGCTATATGCGAAAAGTTTCCCTGATTGGCGTTTTATGTTTTTATTGTGCTCGTGGACTCGAAGTTATTAGTTCGCATGGCCCAATAATCATACAGAATAGATGGAGGGCCAAGTCGATACAAAACAGGAAGTAGGACTCCCTGGCTTTCTGGGGAAGCCAATTCTGATTAACATTCAAATTGTGTGCCGACTTTATCGCAAAGCAATGAACTAGCGCCTTTTGTAATCTCAGAGAGAAAACATTGCGACATCTGAGTGAGGAAGTGGGGGTCTGTAATTAGTTGTTTACTTGAGCAGCTCCAATGGAGTAAAATGGAATGGAGTGGTCATAAATAACTTTGGCCATCAGCTTCCATCGGCGACTAATGAGCTGCTTTAAAGCATGCTTTTTACTCGCACTTCAGGGGTGATGAACCTTTAAGCCAAACGGGGGGCAATGGCCAAAAATGCAGTTTACCCTCCTCCTCCACCAGCTTCCTAATCACAGCACAATGCACCCAGTGGGGAGTAGCTAGTTCGGTCATATAACTTCATTTACACTTGAGCTGAGAATGTGGCAGGACTGTTGGCTTTTCGGTTGAATGGACGCATTGTGCGAGCAGCAGTTTCAGTGGCAACCAGGAAGGGGCAAAGGACGATGCTGGGCAAGGCAAACAAGGAGCCAATAACAAAGGCGAGGGCGGGCATTATGTTAAGACTGCAGTAACAGCAAACGACGGACTCGAAGAGCGAACAACAAAGCTGCTAGCTGGCTGGTTGGCCCATACGCAGTATCTTAACCCAGCCATTGTCGTCAGCCATTGATTACGTTGTTGTTGTCACCGGGGAGGTCCTTTGCTCCTGCTCCTGCTCCTGCTGCTCCTTAGCTATTCTTGGAGCTGCTGACGTGACTGCCGGCTGCGTGCAGCTCCCAGCTCTCAATGGAGAATTTAACAATTACATATTGATTGCCAGCGCCTCGGAATAAATCCCCCGCCAACTGTTGCACGCGAAAAACTTTGCGATAACCCCAAGTCACTCTGTAAAATTCCGCTCCCCCCTACTTGCAGATACAACATCTCCTGGGCCGTCGACTCGCATTCGCCCATCGAGGAGTACAAGCTGTCCTTCCGCAAGTTGCCGCAAGGACACGAGGTCGTTGGCAATGCCATCGACTCGCCCTCCTCCTCCTCCTCAATGTCGATGTCCTCCTCCTCCTCCTCCTCCCAGATGTACGGCTCTGGCTCCGGGCTACACGGCCATCGGATTGGCAGCAACATGGGCGGACTGTCCGGATTGTCTGGCAGTGGCAGCTACTCCGGCTACGGCAACGTGATGCACTGGGGCCACAACGACTGGCGCGACGTCGTCCTGCCGGCCGTTCCCGTTTCGCACCACTACGCGCAGGGCATGAGCTACATGGTGCGCGGCCTGGATCCCGACCAGCACTACGAGGCCACCGTGCAGTCCAGGTGAGTGGGATTGGGATTGCGAGTCGCAGGGGTGCCAAATTATAAAAGCAAAACTTTACGCCGGGATTTAAAGGGGATTGGAACGGCACAGTGGTTAAATCAGCAGTAGGAAAGGGATTTTCTGAATGATAATAACTTAAATAATACTATTTTTAAGGTTATGCAGTAAAAATAAATGTTACATGGTGAATTAAAATATTTAGAATGATTAAACTCTGCCAGGAAGAAATTTTTACAAAGGTGTCTAAAAGTATGCAGTGAAAATAAGGTTTAAAAAAATATTGTCGCATACTTTTAGGCACTTTTATAAATGATTTCAAAACTCCTCTAAAGTTGTAGGCAATAAATAGAGATTGAAAAAATATTTCTCGATATTTAGTTTGTGTTTTCCTTTAAATTGATATTATGGAATCTATATTGACAAAATATCAATAATTATTAAGCTCTAGCATTAAAGCCTCAACAATATAATTTCTAACAAATTGAAAAAAGATTAAGGTTTGTTATAATATTATTTTTGCTTTAAACAAGTTTCTTAAATTTAACTTAAATGCATTATAAACATACCTTACCAACTCCACTGTGCTTTCCAAGCCAGCCTGGCTGCTAATTTGACCACTCGAGATATTATTTATAGTCGCCAAGCGGGGCAGCTGTCATCATTAGCAATCATTTGCATATTAATACCGGTAATGCTCCTGAGCTGCATAATTATTACAGCACACGGTTATCCATTGCAGGAATCGTTACGGATGGAGCGATTTGACCAACAGTTTTGTCTTCTCCACATCATCGAATGGTGAGTACCGAAGCTGCAGTTTCCCATTGTGTAAACCGAAAAGCATCCTTTGCACTAGGCTAACATGCGAATACCCTAACAGAAGATTGAAAAAAAAGTCCATGTACTATTGATGATGGGCTAAAGTACTGCGATCTCTTAGGGTATTTACCACCTCGGCCAGCCGTGGGTCAATCCAATCCCATTTGCTTGTATACTTTCTGTTGCCGGGCTGCATGCATAATAATTTCGTATTATGCGCTGCTTTCGCCGATAATCCACAAAAATCACAATCAAGCTGCAGCACGCAAACACAAAGGCAAGCCATTAAAATAGCACAGAAAAAAAAAGGAAAGCGAATCGCTTTGTATCGCAGCCTGAGGAGAAAATATGTTCAAGCTGTCATAACTTAATGCAGTTAAATTTATTGCTGCAACGGATTCAGTGAAGTGTGAAGTGAACACGTCGCTCTCTCGTTTGTTTTCGCAGCGAGAATTTCCGCCATCATTTCGCATTCACACTTAAAGCTAAAGTCCACCTTGCACATGCACAGCATGTCTGTTATTAAACACACTCCCTAGTGCACTTCTCATAGCTAGCAAGTGATCAGTAGTATCTTCATTCGAGCCACAATTAACCATTAATCATTTGAGAATCGTTAAACTAAATAAAACAAAGTGTGTTGCATACTTAAGGGGTTTTAGAATAGTAGCAGACCCTAAACTCATTGAAATTTAAACACTCATTCAATAAATTTAAAATAAAACATTAAAAAACCCTAAACTCATTGACATATAAAATCTAAAGAAATGTGAAATATGAAAAATGCTTCAGAAATATCTAGGTCTTAAAAAAGTGTCTAAAAGTATACAGTAAAAAAAGAATTGTCGAGCTCTTTAAAGAATTTAGAGCTCTTCTGCGTTTAAAATAAATTGTTGGCTTCTTTAAGACACCTATTTTGGCATTTAAAGGATATTTCAAAATATTTTACCAAATTAAATAAGAATAAGTTTGCTTTTCTTATAAGAGTAAGGTGACTATTCCCGCAACGCTGCGTTCGCTGCTACTTTGACTGCCAGTTGATAAATATTCGCGGTTGAGGGAATCTGCATGTGTGTGCATAACTAATTGATGGCACAGTCTTGACTCTGCATAATGAGGGCTAAGAATCAAATAAGGGCACAAGGCATCGCTAATTGGATGTTGGCGAGTTCCTGGAAGTCCCTTAAAAGTCACCTTGCGCCGTGGCAATAAATAAACAAAGATGCACTGCGTCGATTGCTATCCCTTGGACTGGGAAAGACCAGAACCCAGTACCAGACGAGACCAACCAGGTGGGTAGATCTAAATGCACACTCGAAATCCATTTATATGCAAAACTATTGTTGCGTTGCATACGGAATTCGTGCTTCGGAGGAAGGGAAGAAAAGCGTAGGTCTGCCAGCGTGAAATGTGGCGCGCGGAGAAAAGCGATTTTCCATGCAAATGACGCACATTTGGCGGCGCCGGCTCGAGATCCTCTGCGTTTCTGTCTTTTGCCATCTTTTGGCTGCCACTGGCATGCGAAATGCATGCAAATGCAAATAGTGCACGGTTCAGTGCCGTTGCCATCGTCATTGCCATTGCGGCTGTTGCAGTTACGCTGATGGGTCTGCTGCTCGGGATCCTTTTCCCGATTCCCCTGGCAAACAAACGCATAAATATGCAGTGGCAACAGCAACAAAAGAAATATGCAATAAACACGCACATGGCGAAGTGAGATATACTCATACTTGCAGCCGGCGACAAAGCGAAGCGGTGAAAATTTAATAAAGCAAAACGTGAATGCCTCACAAAAGGGCGCCGCCTTCCTTTCTTCTCCGGAAAAGCTGCAGCTATAGCCTTTCGAAGCCAGGCAAAAGGTATCGATGTCGCCTGGCGGCAGGACGTGTTGCTTTTGACGGTCCGCATCCTCATAAGATGTCGAGCAAACTTCCCCACCGACTTCATTACGCGCCATTGAAATGCCATTCCATTCACATACTCGTACACCCACATTCCCCAGCCCCAGCCCATCGAATTGCAAGTTCGTTGGGCGGCAATTTATGGCTGCGCTTTGTGCTAATGGAAATGACTTCATTATATTTTCGAAACGTAAACAATTTACGCAATTAGTGACCGAGCATGCGATGCAATAATAACCGCAGCAGCAGAAGCAGCAGCACTAGCAACAAGGTGCAATCGAGCAAAGCGGCAACTAATGAGCCCGGAGTGTCATAACAACGACCCTCGCACAATAACAGTAACACTAAAGGACGGGAATCGTCCTAGACTCACACACACACAGGCAGACAGACAGTCACAGAAATATCCTTAGTTCATTTACCTGTGCCACACAGCCCGTAAACGTGTCCTGCAAGTAGAGCAAGGTGGCTCTGCAGGACCCCAGGACTCCTTTCGCCACTAAGAGAAAGAAAATGCCAATTGAGTTCCGTCTGCAGACTGCAGCTCACATTTGGACTCCATTCGCCACGCATTTGAGATTGTGAAAACAAAAATACTCTAACGACTTTTACTACCTGAAATGTTAAGCCAATGGGAAGCTCAACAAGTTAGATGGATATTTGGTTTGGCGAAAGGATTATAATTACGGCATGGACAACAAACTGTATTCAACTTTTTTTTGCAAATGAATGTTTGCAATGGGAGCCAAAATAAATGTGGATTAAATAATAAGAAGAAATTAAACCTAAAAGGTATCCCAAAGTAATCAGCTCAAATACTTTTCACTTTTATGAAATCATAAAGAAATTATATCTTTACAGCACACAGAAATAAAATTCGATATAAAATAGGGTCAAACGTATAATTTAACTATATCAACTTGATACTTTATCATATCAGTTATTTCATGAAAATTATGAAAATAATATTTTAAAATACCAATATGTAGTATTTTTAATATTAATAATAAAACTCTTATCAAAATGAAATGAATAACTGATCATCTGATTTTTTGTCAACTTGTTTTTCTGTGCACAAATAAAAGAGTGTTTTACTTTTGGAAACCACAAACTATTGGTAATAAAATACGGAAAACAGACCCATTTGATTACAACTTAGAAAGACTATTTATGCAGGACATTATGGGTCAGTTTAAGGACCCCCTTAGGGCATATGAACTTCGATTTTCCTCTGGCCAACATTACCAACATTGCGAATGGCCTCCAAGTGCATTTAATTTTTACGATTCCTCGTCGCCGATGTCTATCCCCGTTTTAGCCATTGTTTTTTGTTTGTGCCTCCATTGTCATAGCCCCGATGCGTAAACCCCCTCTCTTCTTGGGGGGGTTGGAATAGACTCCCAGGTATGCAGCTATTTACATCATGGACTTCAGTTATAGTAACGACATCAGAGCACGCGGGTTCAGAGGTTCAGGGGTTCAGGGGTCGCATAGAGCAGCACATAGAGACATAAAAAATAATGCATTTTGTGCACGCGAAAAAATACTCGACATAAAGCAAAAAAGAAGTTAAATAAAATTACAACATAAAGTAAGGCAACGAGTGTTCTGTTTTCTGTTCAGTCTGCGATGGTGTGGCAATGTTTGTGCGGACGTTTGGCAGTAAGAAATATCAGAAAATGAAAGACTCGTTGAAAGTTGCGTAAAACTTGCTGAAACTGCCAACTGAGGAGCAGCTATGGCAATAGCAATAGCAATACCAACAGCAACAAGGCATTCAAACGATGACAAAGTGGACCCTTACTGCATGTCCTTTAGAATGCGTCGGGGCAACGTCGCCGCTCCTGGCACTGAGCGTCTGCTCAGAAACTTTCAATTTACTCGTCCTAGTCGGCGGCCATCGTGTCCTCCAGCTGTAGCCCCCCTTTATACCCCGCCCCTGTGCGTTTGAAGCTTTTGTGTGGCCCCCGGGAATACTTTAGCCGAGGCACCGCTGAACACCAGTGAACAACTGCAGCAGCGTCATCGCTTTTTGCGTTCCTCTATTTTTTGTTTGTTTGCCTCCCCGCCTCCCATGTAAGTTGCAAAGTTTGCCAGGGCATATACGGCGGGAAAAATAAGGGAAAAAATGAGGCAAGAGAAGGCCGAAGTTTTGTAGTGGAATGCATAACAAGCGCTCGGGCAAAAATAGCACAAGATGTGTAATGCGAATTCTCCACGTGAATGTTATGTTTATGTAAAGTGCAGGTCCCACAATGCCAGACCCAAACACCAAGGAGCTTTTCAAGGAGCCGCAGACAGAGACTCACATAGATAGAAAAAACTGAGACACTGTTGCTGAAGTTCCTGGCCACAAGTGCTGAGTGCTCCAGTACATACAAAAGGGAATGGAAATCGGAATGAGAAGCTGCATTGTGTCACCATAAGTATTCCTGCACTGCTAAGCTTTAATCAGGGCTTTAAGGGCCACTGGAGTTCCTACACTCCCCCACCAAAAATACGAAACAAAAAAACAACAAACCAGATATAATGGAGAGCCAAATCCGTGCGGTCAGCTGGCGACAAACGAGGAGCCACTGCTGTTGCACGTGGAGCATTGTTGAAATGTTGCCGCTGCTGCCGGGCTGCCAAACTTGAAAATCCGCGGTGAGGCAGCCGCCGCTGCTGCTTTTTGCGAATCTCTAATAAACTAGCAGCACGGCCACGGGCAGAACGCAGAACAGCAGAACCCAAAACAGCAGAACGCAGCACATCCAATGCCAGAGAGCCGTCATGTCACCTGTGCGAAAAATCGGATTTGCCTGCTGTACTTACGAGCACCGGCAACAAAAATGCACCAGGACATCACAACATCATCCTTACACAGACAGAAAAAAAAAATGTACCGAATATTTAAGAACAAGTTTTAAAGAAACATTTTAATAACTTTATCACAGTTCATTTACTAAAAATCTTCCAAGTTTCCTATAAATATTTAAAATATAATTTTGAATATAAATCATTTTAATTTGTAAAAATTAATTATAGGCCGTTTTTGTTACAAATGAATAGTTACAGATTTCATTTCTTTATATTTTTATTTTTTATTTATTTAAGAATGATTTGTAATAATTTGCATAATATTATATTTTAATTTGTAGAAATTAATTTTATCAAAAATTAGTTTACTATATTTATTTATTTAATGAATGGGGTTTAAATCCTAAATGGCCGAAAGTTTTTATTTCAATATTAAGAAAATTATTTTTTTCTATTTCCAAATCCCCTTTTTTCATTTAGTACCTAAGTAGCTGCCCTTTTTGTTTCTGTGTAGCCGCAGCAGCCCAACAAATCCGCGTCCGTCCATGTCGATTGCGTTCGTCCATTTGTATTTGTTGCCGCACCGCAATGCTATTACGTGAAAAGCGCGTGGAGGATGTGGGAGATGTGCACAATGGTCGGGATGGTTGGGATGGGCAGGATGTGGGTGCTGTGGATGGTATGCGGATGTGGAGGAGTCCGAAACCGGACAGGTGCCGAAAGCCGGACCCTCGCCACTGCGGCGACATCGATGGCGGGCAGCGCGCTTATTTAGCTGCGCAAACGAGAAATCACAAGTGACGTTACGGTTTTGTGCCGCCAACCGCAAGCAATAAAAGTCGCCACGACAGCAGGACTGTGGATCCTATGGTTCCAATGGTTGCAATGCTTCCAATGGGCTGGGGCCACATTAGCCAGTCGGCCACATGGTCACGAGTCCAGCTGCTCCTCCATCCTGCATCCTGCATCTTTTCCACCACCGCGTCTGTTTTCATTACAAAATTGCCGGCGTTAGCCTGGCACCGCAATTGACAATTTGCTTTTATTTTATGTTGACAGTTGGGGAATTTATATGGTAATGCCGCAGGGAGTGGGAGTGGCAGTGGGAGTGCGATTGCCAGTGGGCATTGCATTTGATCGCCGCCCGTCGGCCATTTTTCTTAGTCGCTTTACCGCCGCGTCCAACGACTAAATGGCCAAATGAATAGAGACATATGAGAGCGTTAGTCGAGGCACTGAGAAAATGCACTTTATGCTTTAAAGGAAAATCTAAGAAAAATAAAAATATATTTTACATATTTTTCTGAAGCATAATTTAAATATTTGAAAATATTGTGGGACTTAATAATACTTTTTGTCTTTTGATTTTTCCTAAGATTAAAATGAAAAAAAAAAACACTTTATGCTTTAAATAAAAATCTTAGAAAAGTAAAAAAATATATAAATATTTTTTATAAAGCACAACTCAAATATTTGGAAATATTCTAGGTACTTTAAATTATATTTTCATTAAATAATTTATTTTTCTTAAGTAAAATTTAACTATTTTGAAGGATTGTAAAAATTTGAAGTAATATTTTTATTAATTTTGGTTTTTATTGGGTTATGAAAAATATGGCATGCCATTTCTATCTTAACGAGTTGCTCATAAAAGGCATAAAAAAGCAATTAAAGTGCATTCAAGGCGGGCGTTCGCCAAACGAAAGGTGTCATGTTTCGAGGCGTTGGCAGCCCAGATGCCTCGATAGATAACCTGTCCCGGTTGCTGGGTAGCAAACACGTGTGCAACATGCAACCTACATTGATACCACGTCCGGCATTTGGGGGGCAAGCCATGAATCCATGGAGGAGCAGCACTCGATGTGTTGGCTGTCTATTAAAAGTGTCAGCAATCACTGGGGGCGGGCTATTTCAGCATCCTTTCTTGTTTGACTGGAAACGAGATGTGATGTGCCGTGTGGTTTGTGTGCTTTAGATATGTCGCTGCCCGAATGCCCGACTGCCTGGCAGGCCATCAAATATTTATAAGTTTTATATTCGCCCGCAACTTGTGACAGTGCGGCAGATAAAGAAGTCGATGTCCCTGGCAGCCAGGACATTTCATTAAAATCGATGTGCGAACGGATGATATATGTATCGGGAGATCTGGTAGATCTGGGAGATGCAGTCCCTTCATTTACGGGTGTTTACAGAGTCAGGGATTCCGCCTTTGAATCGCCTCGGCTGCCGGTGGCCAAATGCTCATTTGTCATTATTGACAGATGCTGCACGTTGCCATTTTAATTGGCGGCCTTAACGAAATGAGCTGGTTTTCCGAGGAGCCGTGGAATGACCTCGTGAAGAGCCCAACACCACCCACTTGATTGGCCATCTGCATCCGCAGTCGCAGTCGCCATCGTCTGCGCAAAAGTAAATCCTCCTGATTGCAGATTGCACTTTAAGCGTTAATGATTTATTTACCCGCATGGATTTGATTTAAATATCGGGGCAGGATTCGAATTCATTTAATACCAGCACCGTTTATAGCGTAGGCTTGGCACTATCCCTACTTTCTCATCTATCCTAACTTTCAACGACTGCTCCACGTACTAATTGCAGATGGACCTGTCGATCTGTCAACCTTTTTGAATCACGGTCTGTCAGGTTAGTCCCCTCTCGCTCTAACTCTTTCTCTGTCTGCCATCTCTCTCTCTCTAACTCTCTTTCTATCTCTCTCTGTCTTACTCTGTATGCCACTCTTTCTCTCTCGCTCTCTTTGCATGTTTCCATCCTATTCTATCTGCATGATATTTATTTTTTAATACCTTGTACATACAGCTCAATATTTGCGCTAAGCCAGCCTGAATAGATGAAATACAGCTATGAAATAATAAGAAAATAAAATCGGAAATAAATCGAAAGTATATATATACGTTTGTCCGGGCAGTTTAGCAACTATTTGGCGTGCCATTTCCGTTCCCAGTCGAAAAAACCCGTTCGAGAACAGAAAACGAAATGGAAAAAAGTTTTAATGTGTGCCATTGAAAGTCCGTTTGAATGTGCATGTGTGCGTGTTTATCCTGCGAGAGGTGTATTTCATATATATACATTCATCTATACAATCCAATAGCCATTGAGTACATTTCAATATGTTGACTTGCATGCCCGACCAATTTGTTTTACGACCAAATATAGCCGAAATGAATATGGAAATTCGTGTGTTGCGAATCCCATTCCGATTTCTATGTACCATACTATACCATTTCTTTTTGAGGCCTTTTCGAGCGGATTAATAAAAGCGAATCGCTTGCATCTCTATTGCAGATAACGAGATGAGGGATCTGAGCGTCACCTTCTACGGCAGCAGCGCCATCAACCGGCAGAAACTGGGACTACTGGCCCTGAGTTCCGCCACTTTGGCTTTGAGCCTCCTGGTGGCCTAATTGCTTTCTATTTCGATTTCGATTTCGAGCCGAGTTACGTTACGAATTTCACCGCCAATAGCAGTAAAGCGAATCGTTTGGAGACAACTGGAGTCTGGATATTGGAGATTGGCTACTGCACAACACTCTCTAAAGGCCTAAGATAGGCATAGGCTAAGATTTCTCATTGTTCGATTCGAATTTCTCAAGCAAAGTTTAGTGAATTAACCAAGAAAACGGAACCATACATTATACATGTAACAATCAATGTAAAAGAGCATGCAACTGTTCAAACTAGGACCCATAAAGCAAACATAACACACATAACACTCACATTCGCCGACCATTCCAGCACTCAGAAAACAAAAGAAAAACAACCAGTGTACATAGATTTTATTGCATACTCCTAGGTATAAACTGCACCAAAGAAATAGTCACTCGACAGGAGAAAATGAAAGTAAAGAGTAAATTTAATATATAATAACTAGTAAGAGTCATAAATGATCTGGGGATTAGCAGCCCTGATTCAGAGTAATTTGTGGCATTATGCGGATAGTTAATTTAATTAATACATAAATGCATAAACTAATTATCGGATATCGGATACGCCACTGCCGCCACCGCACTTCATACCATGCATTTTAGTCGAAATTTCCAAATGACTCTAACTAATTTGCAGCGTTCGAGACGCAGTTCAATGGCTGCTAGCTTCTAGCTTTTTGCAATTTGTATGTACGTAGCCGCTAAGTAGCTTAATTGACCGCATAAATGCAATTAAATTAGTCAGCAGACCTATTGATTTGGTATGTAAATTAATCCACACACCGAAAAAAAAAGGGCAGCATATAGAAACCACTTCCATATGGCTATTTGGATTACCAACGTAGAGAGTAAGTGTAAATAAATATGATGGATATATGTAAGGCATACATTGCAAGCGTAATATAGTAAGTAAATAAATAATATCCACATTTGGCGGGTTTAATCTCGTGGCCAAGGTTGTTTTATGTACATATATTGCACCACAGTCATTCGAATCTCATGATATATGTACTTACAGTTCGATACTCGTATTGTTGCTTCACCATGCACCACCCTGAACTATCCTTTTTGGCAATCCAAAAGCAGAAAGCAAAACCGAAAACCAAAAACCGAATGCCAGGCAGAAAACGCACCTTAGAGGCATATACAACATATGAGAGCTAGACGATAAGTGAATATTGTAATGAGATTAACGAAAGCGACGCCTACATATAAATAAATGTATAGGAAAATAACTCTACTTGATTTCCGAATTAACTCAGCCATATACAAGATACGCATTCAGCTTTTCTAGAATTAAATGTGGAAGGAAATCCAGAAAACGATAAATCTAGCATAGAACTATATGTGTAATTAATACTGCTGACAAACGATTGGCCACACAAAGCGATAAGTGAATTACAGTAAATGTATAATTTGTGTTAATGTGAATGTAAATGGATGTGCAACAAGCGATACAATTAATATAGCAAAGCAGATACAGTTTAAATCCCCCTAAAATCACCAAATACCTACCAAAATTCCCACTTAAAAGTTGCTTTGGTCCGGCGACTGGAGCCCATCGATAAGTTAGCTAAATGATGACGAGATAATGATGTCGGTACTCAGTATATATACACCTGAATATAGCGATTGAGCCGTTACTTGTATGTGTAATTTACAGCTTAGTTATAGTTATACTCTTATTTTGTTAAACGCCACAACAACCAGAAATACCAAATCTACTTTAACGTAAATTAAATAAAAATAAAAATAATACTAACCTACACCAGAACATTTTCGGTATTGAATGTATATGTGACTAGAAACCGTATGTGTATGTATATTTGATTATTTTGTAAAATTTTTCAAAAACTATAAATAAAGTCTATATTACCATATAAATGTAAACGCAAGCCTTTCGTCCTTTTCTGTGTTTTCTCTCTTTTATAATTTATGCAGCCCTTTTCAGAATGTATTTTTCCACTTTTCCTAGGTTGTGGATAGTGGAAAGTGTAGTGGATTACCCTCCACACAGGACGATGATGCTCATCAAGTATCCTTCTCCTTGGATCCTTGGAGGCAAGACGCTGCTGAATAAACACAGATGCAGCTGCAGTTGCAGATTCATACGCAGATTCAGATTCAAATAGAGATGCAGCTGGCAACGCGACTTGCAAAGGGTCTAGATGCTCGTTGCGTAAATGCAAACTTGGTTTATTTTATTTACTCCATCCAGTTGTCATAGCCCATAGCCCAATGCAGCCGGCTCACCTTTTGTATGTTGCTCGATGTGATGGCTGTGTAGACATTTAAGTGAGCCGGCAGAGATGACGACCCAACTATGCAACCCATCCACATCCAACCATATACCACTCCACCCATCAGTCCAACCCACATGATGGAATGGAAATGAAAATGGAAAAGTTTTCATACCATGCCTCCCATCCACTCCGCTGCCAGATTGGAGTAGCAATGGTTACACAAGCTCTGCTGGCAGCTCGAGGAAAAACTTTAAATGGAAAATTTGACAGACAGACATAACGGTATTTTAAATGCGATCCGAATCACACACATGCGTCCCTGCAGCATTCACCATTCAGCATTCAGCATTGTGTGTGGCCATCAGCAGCTTAGGCCAGGCGATATGTTATATTGTATATATATCTGTATTCTAGGTTTACCTATTACTATTCCAAGTCCGAGGAGAGTTTAAAGTGGGCTTTCTGCTCCGAGTAAATTGAAAAGTTTAGCCGGCTAATGAAATACCCGGCCAGAGAGCATTTGTTAAATAACCTTAAAAAATAAATATATATAATTTGGACCCCGAAGGCTGAAAAGGAATAAAGAGAACAAATTCCAAGAGCGCATGCTGCCGGCAACCGGGGAAATTGCAAGGTGCAAATGGCATGAAATTACCGCAAAGAACTGGCGACCCAAAATGTCTTCCTTCTCCCCTCCTTCTTCTGGCCGTAAAGTGAATGGAAAGTGAATGGAAGCGAGTGAGTTTCGGGTGTTTGGGGGCCAAAACAAAACCCAAAACAAGGCAACGAATCCTCCACACGTACGTATGAATGTGCCATGTGCGTGTGTGCGTGTGTGCACCTCATTTCCGGCCATTGTTTTTTGGGCCCCGACACGAGTCTCCCGCCTGCTGGGGCTGTCGTTCAGTCGGGTCCTGCTTTTGGTGCACTCACAAAAATCTAAAGTGATTTTGAATCACTTGGTAGGTATTTTTTACGGATTTTTAAATAGTTTTCTATTGGCTAAAAAATATAGGTTTCGATTTTGAGGAGGAAAAAAAAGGTTAGTATTTTTTTACAAAAAAACGTTTCATTTTCATTGTTTTTTAACCGATTTTCGTAATTTTCGGAAAATAAAGGCCAAAAAACTAAAAGTACCCTCTGGTTTGAATTCAGCTTACGATCAGAAACTAACAATGACGATCCCAGTACCGTTCCGACACTTTGTATTTTTAACCTATTTTTGCAAACTTTTCGGTAAAGGGGTAAAACATGATTTTCTGGAGAAAAAGGACCAAAAAACAAAAGTTTCTGGATTTTGACAATTTAAAAAAAATTAAAAGACCCTTTTTTGAGTAGCTAGAAACTAAAAGTAACGATCCCAACCCTTTCTGAATATAAAAACTAAAATGTAATAATGAATTTCCTTCAAAATGATCAATAAAGAATGGCTGAAAATGCTTTTTCCATAATTTGATGAATTTAAGACAAACTGTATAAAGAAGTTTGAGTGAAAATCTTTTAATCTAGAACCCTCTAACTACCCTTTGTTTTTCGGTGCAGTGTTTGGATGTGCTGGTAGTTCTAGTTCTGGTTCTGGGTGCTGTTCTCAATGCCATTCTCGTTGCCGTAGTCGTACCCGTTCTACTTCCTGTTGTCGTTTGGCTGCTGTTTTCACGTTATGAGCTACTTGTTGTCCCGGTGCCTCTTCCACCACCCATCAGATACCCAAACACACATGTGCAGATGCCGATGCGGATCCGTAGGCCTGCTACTGCTGCTGCTGCTGCTGCTGCTGCGTGTGTGCGACATGTTTACATAAAGTCCTTTACCGCTTCTAATGCATTATGGCAACAACACGAACGCCACTCGACGCTGCTTGTATTTATCGTATGTTCTTGCCCCGGAGCCAAAGACCGGGCTAGTTGAATGCGACAAGCGGCAACAGGAGCAGGAGCGGCATCGTGTAGAGCAGGCAACCTGCAGCACCAGTACAGGTTGAAATATCACAGACGCATCGCAAAAACAAAGACACACTCGCACACTCACACCGCCGCATAAATATTTGCATACGATATTTATTATGCTAAAAATAAGCCAAGATTTAAAAGCAGGCGAAATAAGGCCAACTTGGCTGTGGGATGTTTGGCTGTTTGGCTGGGGTGCATAATGAAGGCGGGAAAAAAACAAATGTCATGACAACTCTCACTCAAGCAGCCTTCACACCTGCCTTTCGCTTTTGCATCCGTATCCCCTTTGTGCCACCGGAAGTGGGTCACGTATGCGCCTCAGCCGCCTCAGCCGCCATTGCCTCCTCGGTCTCCTTGGTCGAGACAAAGCGGAGCTGCCTGTAATTAAGCCCGCTGCGATGATGGCGTCGCCGTTTGTTGCTCAAGTGCTAGGCAGCTGGGGGAATATGATTTGAGTTCTGAAGGGGCTGGCCTACCCCTAGAAAATAACCAGAAAATTAACTTAAATTTTTCGTAAAAGCTTAATTCGCCTGCCAGTTTGCTAAGCGGCGCCTAAGACGTCTGTAATGCGTTTAGCGATAGGCATTTGCATGCTTTTAGCCGTTCCGCGGCATCTGGCAAACAAAACAAAGGGCGAGGGCGAAACAAAAGCCTGCCTTAAAAAGAGTGCTAAATCCATTTTGCAACAGACGGCTGCTCTAACCCACAGCCCACCCACTGAACGGTGAGAATTTTTTCCCTGGCCAGACTGGCTGTGCGTGTAACAAGTGCCACTCAAAAAAGGCGGGCTGACTGGGAAACAATGAAGGCGAAAGCAAAAAGCACTTAATAGGCTGCCACAGCGCCGTTGACATGGCCATTTATATGCCGCAACTTGGCAGCGTTTTTAATTCATAATGCAAGGAGTGGGGGGAAGGAGCAGGAACAAAGGCCGCGGTGGCCCAGGATGTCAGAAGGACACCAGCTTTCCCTGCTAATCCAAACGAGGATGCTGTCAGCACCGCTTTTCATCACAATTCTGCCTTATCGAGTTCTGAAAATGATTTAATTTTCGATTCGAATCCGGATCAATCTCTGTTCATCGGGATTTTTGCTCAAAAATAGTTTTCCCAGGGATTTTTATTTAAGAACATTTTTGCCATGAATATTTGTTTGAAAACATTTTTCCGCGAACATGAAAATGACCCTTTTACAGATGCACAAAAAAAAAAAAAATGACACC